TGAAAATACTATGGCTAGGGTCAAGTGCACCTTAGTTCTCAAGCTAACATCTTTGCTCTTCAACACTTTAAAAAGGTCTTGTGCAACAGATTTGCCTAATGCAATATGTCCTTTGATTTCTTGACTGCTGCTTCCATGAATGTTAATGGTTGATCCAAGAAGAATGAAGTCCTTGACAACTTCAATCTTTTCTCTGTTGATATGAATGTTGTTTATTGGTCCAGTGGCAAGGAATTTTATTTTTTTTACATTGAGATTCAATCCATACTGAAGGCTGTAGTCTTTGATCTTCATTAGTAAGCATTTTAAGTCCTCTTCACTTTCAGCAAGCAAAGTTGTATCATCTGTATATCACAGGTTGTTAATGAGTCTTCCTCCAAACCTGATGCCACGTTTTTCTTCATAGAACCCAGATTCTCAGATTATTTGCTCAGCATACTGGTTGAATAAGTATGGTGAAAGAATACAACCCTGTCGCACACATTTCTTAATTTTAAACCATTCAGTGTTCCCATATTCTGTTCGAACAACTGCCTCTTGGTCCAGGTACAGATTCCTCGTGAGCACAATTAAACGTTCTGTAATACTCATACTTCGCAATGTTGTCCATAGTGTGTCATGATCCACACAATCGAAAGCCTTTGCATAGTCAATAAAGCACAGGTAAACATCTTTCTGGTATTCTCTGCTTTTAGCCAAGATCCATAGGCCAATAGTTGACACTAAATTTATTCCTGGAAGTATGCTTTGCTAGAGAAATATGAAGGGCCTGCTTTTTTAATGATGGAGAAAATCTTATAGAGAGTGAGAAGGGGCAAGGAGAGGCAGTTTGTAGCTACAAAGACAGATATTCTAATTTTTTTTCTTCTCCTTTCTTTCATCATCTTTGTATATTTTTAGAACTTGAAGGAAATTTGATTATGATTTACTGTAAGCCTCTCATTAACAGACTGGGAAACTGAAGTCTTCACAGATTAAGTGCCTCGCCCACAGTTACATAGTTGGATTCTTGACCTGTAGCTTTTACAAAAGGTCTTATTGAAATCACAGACTATTGAGGGATTGGGCTGGAACCTGAGTTGGAGTTTCCTATGAAGGAAGGATCAAGAAATTTTGGTGACAGGGAGGGAACTAGGTTAGGAAGAAAGACATACATAGGCATTTTTCTAAGTAAGTATGAAAAAAAGCTTTTTATGCCTTTTTGGAATTATAAACAACTTAAGAAGTTTAACTTAAGAACTTAAGAACATAGAACTTAAGAAGTCTTAATGGCACAGTGGTTAAGCACTGAACTGCTAACGGAATGGTTAGGGGTTCAAATCCACACAATGGCTCCACAGGAGAAAGACCTGGCAATCCACTTGTGTAAAGGTTGCTGCCAAGACAACCCTATGGAGCAATTCCACTCTGTCACTATGAGTCACAGTCAAATTGATGGTACCTTATTCGTTGTTACAGTTCCCCCAGAACAATCTTACTGACATAAGAATGACAGAATACATATTCTAGATTCTTGCCAGGGAGCCCAGATGAATGTTGCTGTTCTTGTGATGGTTGGTAAGAGCCATCGAGTTAGTTCCAACTCATAATGACTCCATATAGGATTTCTGAAGAAAGGATAGTGGATTTGAATTGCCAACCTTGTGGTTATCCTATTGTTGTGTACATATAGGTAGACTAATTTCGGAAAAAACCCAAATGACTCAATGCAGACTAGTAGGTCCCAACTCATAGTGACCCTATAAATGGTTTCCAAGGCTGTAAATCTTTATGGGAGCAGAAAACCTCATCTTTTTTCCTTGGAGCCACTGGTGGATTTGAGTGGCTGACCTTGCAGTTAGCAGCCCAAGCTATAACACGCTACACTACAGGGACTAATTTGCTTTTTTAGAAGAAGTAAAAATCAAATAGAAAATTAACCAATGACTAATTTTAATGTGAGTAATTGAAACATACCCTGTTACTGAGCTCAGTTGTCATCAGGTGGTCTCTGACCCCCATTCATTTGCACAAATCTTTAGTTTTGTAGTTTAGTGGTTTTAAAATAATTGTTGTGTGCCCTTGAGTTTGTTCTGACTCATAGTGACTCTGTAAAGGGTTTCCAGTAGTGGCTTCTGGGTTTGAACCACTGATCTTGTGGTTAGCAGTCTAGTGTTTATCCTATAAGAATAAAACTCAATTATTCAAGGAATAATTCCAAGGGTTATGCCTCAAAAAATATGGCAAATAGCTAAAGTTAATTTTTTTTTTTTGCATAGGAAAAACTTTGAGCTAGTTCCCAGTTAACAGATGTCTTTGTCCCAAAGGTGAATCTGCTTCATGGTCAAGGTATCACTCACCACATGATTTCTTTGATCTTTTTAAGGTGCATTTTACAATGGTCAATTACCTTTAGAATTTTCTGTGCACTCAGAGGAATCTGTTAATTTGGGCCTCAGTTTCTCTTTAACACTATTAAGAGAGACAATCACTTACAGAAGGACTCTGGTTTGTGAGAAGAATCTACACATCCTCAGGCCCAGAGATTTTTCCTGAAGACCAACACAATCATTTTATGCCTTCATTATGAGGTACCAGGACATCCTTAGAAATGCATGATTTTCTATTTAAATACGCTTACATGAGCTCTTCATCTCCATAATCCCTGAATTGTGACAAGATTTCAAAGGGAAAGATCTGGAAGACAATGCCTTGGGCATGCTGGCATTTTGAAAGGAATGTCTAGTTGGAGCTATTAACTTCCTAGAAGAGAACTGGTGGGCAGCCATCAGACACAGTTTTACATTCACAACAAATGTAGATTGACAACAAGAAACTCAGGAAACACATTGTTCTAAGTGGGGGGAGTCAGAGAGTGGCCTTTTGTGAAAGAGTCATGGGTGGTCTGAGAGTCCTGTCTTGTAAAATATGGATAAATATGGTAATTTGGGGGGTAATTTGGGGTAATTTCAAAGCCACTGCCTTGATTTTCTTCTCTACCATTCCCATTTCCTGGCCTTTTTAAGTTCCCACCTTTAACTGATTCAATAGTTTCTGTGTTTAAGGGGAGAAAAGACCCCAAATTCAAATGTATTTTGTAGAGACACATTTATTAGGATTTAAGAAAAGACAAAGACAAAACATCTAGATGAGGGAGAACATCAGCATGAGGTCATAATGGTGTCCAAAGAATTCACAGCTACAAGGCGATTGATACTGTGGTTGCTGTTGTTACGTGCCTTTGAAACTCTTCCAATTCATAGTGACTACAAGGAAAACAGAACTACACACTGCCCAATCCTGCACCATCCTCACAATTGTTGTGTTTGAACCAATTGTTGCTACCACCACATCAATTCATCTCCTTGGGGGATTTCTCATTTTTTCCTGCCCTTCCACTTTACCAAGCGCAATGTCCTTCTCTTGTAACTGGTACCTTCTGACAACATAATCAGTATTCTAAGGAACATTCTGGCTATACTTCTTTCAAGACAGATTTGTTTGCTCATCTGGCATTCTTTCAATATTCCCCACCCATACTATAATTCAAATACATCTTTCACATGCATATGAGGCCATTGAAAATACCAAGGGTTGAGCTAGGCACACTTTAGTACTCCAAGTGACATCTTTAACACTTTGAAGAGATTTCTTAGCAGCAGATTTGCCTAACACAATACATTCTTTGATTTCTTGACTGCTGTTTCCATGAGCATTGATTGTGGATCCAAGAAAAATAAAATCTTTGACAAATTCAATCTTTTCTCCATTTATCATTGTGTTCTTTGTTGTTCCAGTGGTGAGGAATTTTGTTTTCTTTACACTGAGGTGCAAGCCAACTGAAGGCTTCAGTTTTTTATTTTCATCAGTAAGTATTTTAGGTTCTTTTTGCTTCAAGCAAGCTAGGTTGTATCATCTTCATATCATAGGTTGTTAATGAGTCTTCTTCCTCCAATCCTGATGGCCACGTTCTTCATATAGTCCAGTTTTTCAGATTGTTGCATCAGCATACAGATTGAATAAATATGGTGAAAGGATACAACCCTAGCACACACCTTTCCTGATTTTAAACCATTCAGCATCCCCTTGTTCTGTTCTAACAACTGCCTCTTGTTCTACATACAGGTTCCTCATGAGCACAAGTAAGTGTTCCGGAATTCCCATTCTTTGTTATGATCCTCACAGCTCAATGCCTTTGCACAATCAAGCACAAATGAACATCTTTCTGGTATTCTTTACTTTCAGCTAAGATCCATCTGATATCAGCAAAGATATCCCCAATTCCACATCCTCTTCTGAATTTGTCTAGAATTTCTGGCAGTTTCCTGTTACTGACATTTTTTATTTATCTTCAGTAAAATTTTACTTGCCTGTGATATTAATGATATTGTTAGATGATGTCTGCATTCTGCTGGATCACCTTTATTTGGAATGGGCATAAATACGGATCTCTTTCAATCAATTGGCCACGTAGCTATCTTCTAAATTTCTTGACATGGACTAGTGAGTGCTCCCAGTGATGCATCAGTTTACTGAAAGATTTCAATTTGTACTGCATCTATTCCTGGAATCTTGTTTATTACCAGTGACTTCAGTGTAGTTTGGACTTCTTCCTTCAATACCATCAATTTTTTTTTCTTTTTTCCCCAAAATCATGATTATATTTATTATTTTGCTGCTACATTAGAAGTGAAAATCAGAAAAAGCATGCAGCTTCATGAAGGTTATGGAGAAAGTGGCTTTTCTTATAGAGAGAACAAGGACTACATTCACAAAGATCTTCAATGGTGAGATCATTGATAGCATCTACCATGTGGAATTAAGCACACCAATGGGAAGTTTTAAAACAAAAGTAATGGAGCATTGACTACCTCTGCCCTCTTAGCCAGAAAGTATAGATGAGAAGACAGTAGAAGATGCCTAAAATCTCTACAACACATAGGCTTTCCAAAATCAAACCTATAAAATCAAGACACACAAGCAATGTTGAAATTTGCTCTTGGGAGGAGATCCCCATTTTATCATGTTTGAACACATTCTTTCTCCTGCTGGATAGTTTCCTTTGAGGGGAGAGTTTTTTTTTTTTTTTTCCAGTATGAGTTTTCTTCAGTTTTCTCCACTTCGGATAAATCAGGCTTATCACTCATTAAAGGCCAACCCTTGGACTGATACTATCTCTGACTCTGGGCTAGGTTAGCCAATACCATTAATTCTTGATCATATGGTACCTCTTGAAAGGGTTGAACATCAATCAATTCTTTTTGATACAGTGACTATCTTCTTTTGATACTATCTGTGTCAATTGAATGTTTTGCCAATAGAATCCTTCATTATTGCAACCCTGGGCTTAAACATTTTCTTCAGTTTGAGAAATGCTGAGCATATTCTTCCCATTTGGTTTTCTAACTCCAGGTTTTTGCCCATTTCACTATAATACTTTACTATGTCTTCTCAAGTTGCCCTTTGAAATTTTCTGTTCAGCTCTTTTACTTCACATTTCTTCTAGTCCATTTAATGTCTCTACACATTCAAGAGACAGTTCCAGAGCCTCTTCTGACATCCACTTTGGTATTTTCTTTCTTTTTCAATTTATAAAACATGAAAAACAAAAGAAATTGTCACAAAATCATGATTGGAGGCAGATCAATTAATCATAGTAACAGGCATGACTACCGAAGTGGGACAGGCCATGATATAGTATCGCAGATTAGAAAAGTTCACAGGATTGGTTCAGGGTCCCTCTGATCATTTTGGTCAGGATAGGATTTGTGACCTATCAGTCTACTAGGGGCAAGCCCAGGCAAATCCCCGAAGGAGAGACTGCCTCTTCATCAGCTGATTAAAGGAGTGTTTTTATTCCACTTTCAAATGCGCTCTTAGGGCAAAACTTCTTACATTGCCCATTAGTAATCAGAAAGAATGCAACAGAGGCTGAATTTATATCAAAACACAAAAGCAAGCTCTGGTAGCACAGTGGTTACGAATCGGGCTGCGAACCTTAAGGTCAGCGGTTCGAAACTACCAGCTGCTCCGCGGGAGAAAGATCAGGCTTTCTACTCCCATAAAGATTTACACCCTCAGAAACCCTGTACAGGGTCGCTATGGGTCGGACTCGACTCGATGGCACTTAACAACAACAACAACAACTATAAACCACTGGCTTCCACAAACCAAGTGTTCAGGATTTAAACTCTACTACACTGGCTGCTTTCCTCCACTCGCCTGCCAGTTTATTGTACTGTGGTGGCTTGTGTGTTGCTGTGATGCTGGAAGCTATGCCACCGGTATTCTACATAAAAACAGAATCACTCTCGGTTGACAGGTTTCAGCTGAACTTCCAGACTAAGACAGATAAAGAAAAATGAGGGCAAAACATTTCTGAATGATTACCCACTGAAAGCCCTATGAATAGCAGTGGAACATTATCTGATATAGTGCTAGAAGATGAGCCCTTAAGATTGGAAGGTACTCAAAAGTATGACTAGGGAAGGGCTGCTTCCTCAAAGTAGAGTTGACCTGAATGATGTAGATGAAACAAAGCTTTCAAGACCTTCATTTGCTAATGGGGCACAACTCAAAATGAGAAAAAGCCAGCTGTAACCATCTAGTGGAGTACTGTTATGGCACTGTGGGTTAATGTGCTGGCTGCAAGGTATGTTTGAACCGCAAGGTCGGGGGTTCAAGCTCACCAGCCGCTCCTTGGAAACTCTATACAGGGTTGCTATGAGTCAGAACTGACTCAATGGCACTTAACAACTTAACAACAACAACAACAAACCATCTAATAATGATCAATATGTGGAATGTATGAAGGATGAATCTAGGAAAATTAGAAGTCATCAAAAATTAAATAGAATACATAAAGATCGATATCACAGGCATTAGTGAGCTGAAATGTACTGGTGCTGGCCACTTTGAATCCGACAGTCCTATGGTTTACTGTGTTGGGGATAACAAAGTGAAGAGGAATGGAGTCACAGTCATCATTAAAAAGAGCATTTCAAGATCTATCTTGAAGCACAGTTGCTTTCAGTGAGGATAATATCCATATGTTTACAAGGAATACCAGCTAATACCACTATTATTCAGATTTATAAACCAATCACTAAAGTCAATGAAAACGAAATTGAATAATTTACCAACTTCTTCAGTCTGAAATTAATCAAACATGCAATTGAGATACATTGATAATTACTGATGATTGGAATGCATAATTTGAAAACAATAAGGAAGGTTACAGAGTTAAACATATGGCCTTGGTAATAGAAATGATGCTGGAAATTACATGAATTTTGTAAGACCAATGACTTTTCTTTGTAAATGCCTGTTTTCAACACAAAAGGAGACTGTACACATGTACCTCACCAGACAGAATATATAAGAACCAAATTGACTACATCTGTGGGAAGAGATAGTGGAGAAGATCAATATTACCAGCCAAAACAAGGCCAGAGATCAACTGTGGTATAGATCATTAATAGCTAAAATGCAAGTTCAGGATGAATCTGGAGAAAATTTAAAGAAGTGCACGAGGGCCAAATTATTACCTTGAATATGTCCCGCTGGAATTTAGAGACCATTTCAAGAATGGATTTGATGCACCGAACACAAATGACAGAAGACTGGAAGAGCTGTGGAATGACATCAAAAACATCATACATAAAGAAAGCAAAGGTAATTTAAAAAGATAGGAAAGAAAGAAAAGACCAAAATGAATGTCAAAAGAGACTCTGACACTTGTTCTTTAATGCAGAACAACTAAAGCTACCAAAAGAAATGATGAAGTAAAAGAGCTGGACAGAAAATTTCAAAGGGCAGCTCAAGAAGACAAAGTAAAGGCACTAATGAAATGTGCAAAGACTTGGAATTAGAAAGCCAAAAAGGAAGAACACATTCAGCATTTCTCAAGGTGATAAAAAAGAAGAAACATTCAAGCCTCAAGTTGCAAGATTCTGTGAGCAAAATATTGAATGACAAAGAAAGGCAACAAAAAATGGAAGGAAGGCACAGAATCACTGTATCAAAAAGTGTTTAACCATTTCAAGAGAAACCATACGATCAAGAACTGACAGTACTGAAGGAAGAAGTCCAAGCTGCACTGAACACATTGGCAAAAAAAATAAGGCTCTAGGAATTAACAGGAATCCTGATGTAGTGCTGTGGGTTAATGCATTGCACTGCAAGGTCATTTGAACCACAATGTCGGCAGTTCAAGCTCACCAGACTCTCCCCAGAAACCCTATACAGGGTCTCTATGGGTCAGAACCAACTCGACTGCACTTAACAACAACAACAGAATACCATTTGAAATGGTTCAACAAACTGATGCATGTCTGGAGGAACTCACTTTTCTATGCCAAGAAAATTAGAAGACCTGACCAACCAACTAGAAGAGATCCAAATTTGTACCCATTCCAAAGAAAGTGACCCAATGGAAATGGAAATCATTGAACAATATCATTAATATCACATGGAAGTAAAATTTTGCTGAAGATAAATTTTAAAAAAACAGTTGCAGCAGTACATTGACAGGAAGCTTCCAGAAATTTAAGCTGGTTTCTGAAGAGGCTGTGGAATGACGGATATCATTGCTGACATCAGATAGATTTTGGCTGAAAGTAGAGAATACCAGAAAATTGTTTATTTCTGTTTTATTGACTATGCAAAAGCATTCAACTATGTGGATCATAAACTATGGATAACACTGTGAAGAATGTGTATTCCAGAATACTTAATTGTATTCATAATGAACCTGCCGGTTGTTTTAGCAGATTGTTCAAGAGGTAGTTGTTTTAGCAAAATAAGCAGAATGATTGAAAATCAGGAAAGGTGTGGACCAGGGTTGTGTCCTTGCACCATACTTATTCAATTAATATGCTGAGCAACTAATCCAAGAAACTGGATTCTATGAATAAGAATGTGGCATCAGAATTGGAGTGAGACTCATTAGCAACCTTTAATATGCACAACCTTGCTTGCTGGAAGTGAAGAGGATTTGAAATACATATGGATGAAAATCAAAGACTACAGCCTTCTGTATGGATTACACCTCAATGTAAAGAAAACAAAAATCCTCACAACTGGACCAATAAATAGCATCATGATAAATGCAACAGTGTGTGAAGTTGTCAAAGACTTCCTTTAGCATGGAACCACAACAAACACTCAGAGAAGCAGCAGTTAAGAAATCAAAGGATGCATTGCATTAGTCAAATCTGCTGCAAAAGTTGTGATGTTGTGAATTACTTATTATGTCTTTTCTAGCCTTATTCTTTGAAACTCCCACCAAATGGCTCTTTTCCTGATGGGTCTGGGTTAAAGAAGGTGGGAGAAGATACTGATAGGATGTCACTGTTCAGCTGTGAATATTAACAGAGTTCATTGTAGCTGTAAAAGAA